AAATTTTATTTAGCTAACGGTACACTAAAGTTAATATAATCCCTCCCTTCTATTAAACAAACACTTTTTTTTTTTTTTTTTATAAATTCAAAATGCAGAAAGCATATGCCTACCTGGATTTAGTTTTGAATCATACAACATCCTTTACTTCAAACTTCAGGTTGTCTCTAAAAACTAAAAAGTTATTTTATTTTATATTTTTTAATTGAGACTCCTGGTACTAATTTTTTATTGTTTACTAATTCAACTTCATCAATAAATGAATTTTTAATTTATATAGGTTCATCTTTAATCATGATTATAGGCCTACATGATTAACATTTCCGCAAATGCCTTCATACTTCATCAGTACCGGTACCCAAAAATAATAATATAAATTTAATTTACCTAATATATTATATATAATAGATCAACGCGATATGTAAGCCCATATCATACCCAAAAAAAAAAAGATGAAAGAAAAGAATAGGCTTAGAGTGGGCGCATGTGATATGAACATGAAACAAAACTATGAGTAGGACTAGGACCTTAACCCAGTTTACGAATTATGGCCAAATGAAGTAATGATGGGCGATATGTGTACAAAAGGCGTCTTACATTTAGTACCGTTATTGTTGTGTGGTTTACACGGGCGTTCAAGTTGAAGCAGTATTTTTGAAAAAATCAGTTAGTTGACAGTGGACATGTTTATTTGGAATTGAAAACTACACTGCCTTCCTTCAGATAAATGACTAAATATTGAAAATATGGCACCTATTGATTTACTTTAAGGCCTGATTCCCCCCCCCCCCACACACACACACATTTATGTCGCCACTAAAGAAATGTATGGACCCACATTTTGAAGAACCCTCCTTTTACGAAATCACTAAATGAATGTATGGACCCACCTCGACAGAGCCCCGCCCCTTTTAAAACCTCCCTAAAGGAATGTATGAACTCAGATGTTCGGATATTTCACACAAAAAAAATGGAGTGTGGGGCAGTGCCATTGGCCAGAGGCGTATCTAAGGGGGTGGCAGATGGGACAGACGTCCCCGGGAGCCAGACTAGTGGGGGGGTGTGCAAAAAGGGGCTTTGATTGTATTTCATGGTTGAAAATAATAAGTTTCAGAGTTTGGGGGGGGGGGGCGTACAAATTAATTCTTACCCGGGTATCACAATTGAGTAGTGGTGATTAAAAAAATTATTTAAAATTTTATGGTTGAGTTTGTAAGACAAAATGAGGTAT